CCCATCCACTCCTCCACCTGTTCACCCATCTTCCCAAAGACCCAACACTCCGGGAACTTCTGGTCAGTGGTGGGGAGGATGAGTCAGACCCAGCTGAGATGATCGATCCAGGGCCCGTGTGACCTGGCTGTGATGCAAGCCCGGGGCCCACTGCTACTCACCGGTGCCCGTGGCACTGCCCGACACCTTGAGCATCTGCGAGGCCATGAAGTTGACCTGCGTGTTGTACGTGGCCTGCACGCTGCGCCGGATCCGCAGCATCTCGCGTATGGTGTCCTCGTTCCCGTGCCGGACCTCGAAGTCCTTCCACGTCTGCCAGAAGGCGCCGGTCGTCTGCGGGTGGGCGAGGCCAACCAGTGTGAGCTGGGCCGCTGCAGCTGCCCAGCCCCTTTACACCCTCCCCAGGTCCCGTGCCTACCCGGGGGTCGCAGATCTGGGAGCAGAAGCTGTAGATGGCACGGGCACGGTCGATCTCCCCGAGTTTGCATTCCATGTCGGCGAAGCGCAGGCACATCTCCCGGGCGTGCTCGTCCGACAGCACCTCGATAGCCTTCTGGTAGATGCCCCGGGTGTGGGTGACGCCGTAGATCTCCGCAGCCCGCTTGATGTAGATGTTGAACATGTCGTACTGCTGGGCCGGCTCCACGGCCCTGGTGGCGCGCTCATACACGGCCATGGCGTGGCGCGCCAGTCCCCACTCCTCCTCCAGCTGTGCGTACAGCAGGTACAGCGCTGCCAGGGCGGTGAGGGGCGGTCAGGGCGCGTCTTGAGCCCGGGCCCTGCCCTCCCACCCCTGCCCAGCCGGGCTGCTCACTCTTGGCGTATTTGGGGGGGCAGCCGTCCAGCGCCTGCTCAAAGAGGTCCCGCGCCCGCTCCAGCTTGCGGCCCCCAAAGCGGGCGATGAACTTGGTCAGGTAGGTGCTCCAGATGTCCGACACGTTGGGCCACTTGAACAGCGAGATGCCGCGCTCGTACGCCTGCCGGGCCGGGAGCTGCTGTCAGGGGTGACCCCGGTGGCCAGAGTGCCCTCAGGGCCCGACTAATGTGTTCCTTCCCTTCCTCCCAGTGCATGTCCTGGAGGACTTGGGGGACAAGGCCTGGCATTCAGGGGGTGATGTGATGGTAGAAGGGCGGGCCTGCCCTCAGTGCTCTGGGGAGGAACCACCTCATGCCCCCATGTGCATACGCAGCCTCCCAGTATGTGTGCAGTCACCATCCCACGCAGACCAATGTGCAAAACCACACAGGCAGGCGGTGCGGACAGGCCCTGCATCCAAGGAATGAGTGACCTACCAATGTGTGTGTGTGTGTGTGGGGGGGGGGATACACAGGTGGTAGTGGGGACAGGCCCAGCATCCAGGGACTGTGTGTGTGACCTACTGATGTGTGTGCGTGTGCACAAGTGCCCACGGATACACAGGCAGTGGTGGGGACAGGCCCTGCATCCACGGAATGTGTGTGTGATCCACCGAGCATGTGTGCGCGCGCACGGTGCCCACAGATTTGTAGACAAAACTGCACAGGCGGGTGGCCGGAACTTGCCACGTGTATGAGTGCACAGGTAAAAACAAGGACCCTGGCAGCAGGGCAGAGAAAGATGGACACTTTCTGCCCCACCCCCTCAACATACAGAGGCCAATACCTGTCCCACTGGGGCTGCAAGTTGTTCTCAAGATCCCACAACAGAGACAAGACTGGTACCCCATCTGGGCTGCAGTCGGCCCCACAATCCACACAGCACCTTGTCTCGGCTGAAGGGGGCCCTGAGGCATCCTCTGTTTGGGCTGCAGGCCAGTCCTGAGTCTTGTGACCCTCTGTACCCCATCTGGGCTGCAAGCAGCCCCACACTCACACAGTGCCCTGTCTGGGCTGCGAACGGCCCCATATCCACTCAGCGCCCTGTCTGGGCTGCGAGCGGCCCCACATCCAGGTAGCGCTGTCTGGGCAGCAGGAGGCCCCACATCCACGCAGCGCCCTGTCTGGGCCGCGGGAGGCCCCATATCCACTCAGCGCCCTGTCTGGGCTGCGCCCACATCCACACAGAGCCCTGTCTGGGCTGCGAGCGGCCCCACATCCAGGTAGCGCTGTCTGGGCAGCAGGAGGCCCCACATCCACGCAGCGCCCTGTCTGGGCTGCGCCCACATCCACGCAACACCCTGTCTGGGCTGTGGGAAGCCCCACATCCACACAGCGCCC